GATACAAATAAAAATAACAATACAGCAATGGCATTGTAAGTCTCATATCAACATGACTTTCCACAGGAAACTGTCACATATGCAATCTATAGCACAGGTAAGAGATAGGTTGGTTGCCTCTTGGAGAGACTTAGTCTAGAGCTATAAAAATGTTTTAAAGATCTTCTCACTACATATTAGAAATGATCCGTACCAGTAAGCATTATGTAAAATTTGAATGCAGGCTGATACTCGAAGCTCTTTTTATTAATTTAAAGTTCCTATTAGAATCTTTTATATTTCTTTAACCTTCTCAATGCAATATGGTTTTTCTTCTGTGGTGTATTATCTCACCACCAAAAGGAATCCATCTTGGCTGAGACTGAAAAACATCTTTTCATGAGAACTAACACAGCTTAACAGGCAGTGGATTTCTGAATATTAAAAAGTGGCTTTATTATTATTATATGCATTGAGATATATGCTGCATCCTTTCCCTAAAAAATGAAGGAATTGAAATTTTGTTGCCACTTTTACTTTCATATACCAGTTTATGAAGAAAATAACTAAAGACTGACCAAGGCTGTACAATACATCCATAAACTGTTAGGATTTAAGTCAATGACATCTTGTATGTATGGAATACATATGTCATAAACACATCGATTCAGTAGTATCATCAGCAGTAGAGATAAGGCATGGATAGAGTCGCTTGGATAACTTGTTACTTATAATAATTTTGTTAAAATTACATTTTTGAAGTGATATCAAAACTTTATTAAAAAATCTGGAAGTCCCTTTGCCCTTCCAAAGCTTTTTTCATCATTTTTGTTACAACTCAGGAAGTGAGTCGGAAATTATTCAGCTTTTCCCCACGTCTGGTCCATGGCCTTGGCTCAAGCCAGAGAACCCAGTTTTAAACCAGAGAAGGAAAAAATTTCCTGGCCTCGGCTCAAGCCAGTTTTAAACCAGAGAAGGAAGGTATTTCCTCCGCTTGCTTTTCCCCGCTTTTGGAGTAAAACAACTACTTTCAAAGTTAAAGGCCACCCAATGAAACAGGAAATAACACTTTCAAACCATTAATGAAAGGATTCAGAAGTCTCAGAAGTTTTGAAAAGTTTTGAAAACATTTTTCTGTGAAAATCAGAATTGACTTTAGAATCGAACCACCAGCATCTGGAACAAGTTTTGAACCGGGTTGTTGTAGGTTTTTTCTGGGATATATGGCCATGTTCTAGAGGCATTGTCTCCTGATGTTTTGCCTGCATCTATGGCAAGCACCCTCAGAGGTAGTGAGGTCTGTTGGAACTAGGAAAAATGGTTTATATATCTGTGGAATGACCAGGGTGGGACAAAGGACTCTTGTCTGTTGGAGCTAGGTGTGAGTTTTGAAGCATTTTTTAATCAACCAAGCCTAGTAGTGATATAAAAACCAAGCAGACTGAAAGAACAGCTTTCTCTTGCTGAATAATTTCTTAGGATACTCTTATATACAATTTCACTAAACATATTCAGTGCCCTCTGAAACTGAGTAACCATTCCAGAAACTCCTCTTCCTTACCACTGTCTGCAAATATATCTGTCCTGGGAAGATAGGCCATATGTTCAGACAGTGAATGGAAGGAAACAAAATACCAGTTCAGATTTATGTGTAAAGGGCGCACATTCCAACACATGCACATGCTGGCCCACTCTCTATGCCCTCCTTCCTTTTCCTTTTCCTGGCCCTGCCAGCTTGAGTTTGGCAAGATCAGATGGGAAGTTCAAGTCACATTCAGGTTTTTTAACTCATTTCAAAATTATTATCCATATTGACATGGGATTGTTGGGAACTTGTATTTGCAAGCGAAATAAAACATGATGGCACCAGACCCATGTGGAGAAAGAGATCTGCTGTCAAATCTCAAAATCCGTTCCAAGGAAAGGAAGAGGGGGAATTAACAAACAACTTTGGGAAAGGAAGAGGTCAGCCATCTCCTACCTGCCCCCTTCTCTCAAAACTGCTTATACAGTTGTTTTTCTCTAAGTGGTGCCAAGACTGTGACTAGAGTATATGTGCCTGTGTATTGATGTGTCTGTGTACATAAATGCATAACATARAGAGCATTATAATAGTTTTTAATGTCATGTTTGTCTCTTGCAGAATAAAGAGAACAGGACTTACCTGGTCCGGCGCAGCTGGGCCAGAGTAAGGATATTTGCCCCCCTCCCTCGAGGGAGACTTGGAAAGTAGATCCGGCCGGATCTACTTTCCAGGGGGGGCGGAGCCTAAAAGGAGGCTGCCGCCCCCTCTTCTTCAGTTCGAAGAAGACGGCAACCCACCCTCCCGCCGCTATACAGTATAATTCAGGTCGCCGATGGGGGCCGGGTAGGAATTTTTTYCCCCCTAGTTGATAGGGGGTTTTTTCGCCTACCCTATACTGTTGACAGGCAGATTGGTTTGGGAGGGCGGTTAAATAGGCACTGGCCGAAATTAGAAAATAAGCACACTTCGGCGTACACCGAGTCAACCTTTGTTTAAGTCAGGAGCTGAAACCCTCACTTGTGGTTGCTAATCCAAGGGGGGCATAAGCAAATGACTTAGTAACGGGACATTCTGACCTCAACTCATTGGGGCAGAATGGTCGATACGTTGACATACAGGGTCATCCAGGAGTATGGCACCCGGGGACCTGGTGTTATCGCCCTATTACAGCCGAGGGGTAGGACGGGAAGGAACATTCCCTCGGCTTTAGTATCACAAATTTTACAGGTCACTTTAGATTGTTAAATTATAAGTTTCAAGTTCTAATTAGGTAACATTTAATAAAGTTGCCCTAGTTACCCCATATCGTTGTGTTGTCTCTTATTTCGGGGGTTGGAGGGCAAAGGAAGGGCAAGGGCATGGGGGGACAAACATAACATCACCTTTAAGTCTAAGTGCTTCTTATTTCTGTGTGAGCTTTCATGGATATCAACCCACTTCTTCAGAATATGGTACTGAGTGATATTAGTGTCTCAGATATGAAGTATTTTTACACAGAGAAAAGGATAGAATATAACAGATTCCAGAAAGATGCAAAAGATTATGATAAAAACAAAACATAAAAACTAGCTACACTTTTTCTTTCCCCCTTCATTATTATTCGTCTGCATAGGAGATGATCATCTTGAGTAATGTGGGCTGAAGCCCTCCAGAACTACTCCGATGTGGCCTAGGAGCACCCCCTTTTTAGCCATCCATATGGGCAACCATGTCAAAGGAATGCTGAGGCTGCTGCCACCACCACCATAGCTGCTGCCGCCACCACCAGCAAACAGTTCCTAGCCACAGGCTTGTGGCTAGCATTGCACTACTAGTCACATGTCTGGGTGCCCTAATGTGATATCAGCAGAAGCAATGTTGCCAAAAAGCCTCTGGCAGAGTACTGCTTGCTGGTAGCAAAGCAGTGGTGGGCCTGTTGGACTGTTGACAGTACATTGGGTTGAATCCATCCTGATCCAGCTGTCCATGCCTCCAAAACTCTAGTATAACTCTGGACCTCCATCAAAGCTACAGAATAAATTCCATGCTTTCTTAAACACACACTAACAGCTGGATGCAGAACTTCTGCTGTACATCCAACCATGAATTGATTGGGCTCTTTGCAACTGAGTAATGAATCCACTTTATTTTGACCATGTAGACCCAAGTTTAGTCTGGCTTGCAGTTTGCATAAAGTTTTCCCTGTTTTTCTTGATTTTTTTCTGGGACACCTGGATGTCTCTCCTCCCACTTATAAAAATACAGAAGCTGCAATTCTCCTTTAATCAACATGTGTGGCTTCCACACTATTTTGGTTGTAAAGGCAAACAAGCCAGCATTTTTAAAGTTGACTTCTCGCCACTTCTTGTTTCAGGAGGGATGATATTCAGATGATACACCTGAAAGAAGTTAGTATCACAATCTATAGAGGACAAGATTTTGACTGAATGTATGGAGCAACAAACCACTGGTATTTGTTGGGTAGATGACAATCCACAAATGTACAATGAATTTCTCTCTCTTAGGCGATCCCTCGTTTTCCGAGGAGGATTGTCTTCCAGTATTCTTGTGGGTCTGTATGTGGCTGTGGAGCCCTATTCTTGATCTGCATCTTCTTCCGCAGTGAGGGCATTGGTTTCCAGGTGGAAGGCAGTCTCGGTCAGGGTTGGCTTGACGCGCCTTCCTCTTGGCATGCTTCTCCCTTTCGCCCTCCATTCGTGCCTCTTCAAATTCTGCAGCACTGCTGGTCACAGCTGACCTCCAGCTGGACCGCTCAAGGGCCAGGGCTTCCCAGTTCTCAGTGTCTATGCCAGAGTTTTTAAGGTTGGCTTTGAGCCCCTCTTTAAATCTCTTTTCCTGTCCACTAACATTCCGTTTTCCGTTCTTGAGTTCGGAGTAGAGGAACTGCTTTGGGAGATGGTGGTTGGACATCTGGACTATGTGGCCGGTCCAGCGGAGTTGATGGACCATCGCTTCAATGCTGGTGGTCTTTGCTTCTATGCTACAATGAATAAGCCACAGGTGGATTATTGCACCCCTGCCTTAGCTTTTAATTTCCCGAGCCAGGGACAGCTCACTTTGTAACCTGGACATTAAATGTGGTTTTCTGTTTTGCCTTGTCCTATTGGCCTGGAGGAAGAAGAAATTGCCAAATCCACTGATTCCTTGTACAGAGGATGACATTCTAATTTATTTAATTTCTCCCTTGCATGCAAATATGCATGATGGTCTTGCATACAATATCAGCGGGGGCTTTTTTGTTTTGCACAAAATTGATTATTTTATTATTTTATTAATTGTTTTCTTTCTATGTCTTGTTCTAATGGGGTAGGGGGACAGTGGCTGATTTGCTTTTCCCCTGATACAAATTTCTGGACTTGTTAAAATTTGCAAATATTATTTCTATCCCTAGATTACAACACATACTGGCACACATGAACATTTTAATTTTGTTAGCAGGAGTCACATTATACTTTTACCTTCATGATAATTAAAACATTGCTAAAGGACAGCCTACCTTTAGGGCAAATGTCAGTGCATGGTTTGCATGTCTTGATGCCATTTTCTTCCACTTCCATTTTTGGGCTGGGACAGGCACGCACACAAGAGCTGATATCAACCACAAAGTTATCTAGAGAAAGAAAGAAAAAACCATGAAGGATTCAGTCCATAGGCTGCACACAATGGGTTGTTTTGAGCATCCCTTTTGAAACAGAGGTGGTGGGGCAAGTTGGATGTGGGACCTACATCTCTGCCACTGCATCTGATGTTCCTTTTTTATATATTTGCCTCAGATGTTGCATTTTATCTTTGAAGTTTTATCTAAGCTCACATTCTCCTGTATACCCGTGGCTTTATGTTGTTGCTAATTTCAACATCCTTTAAAAGTTTCATTTCCCTTGAGATGCTGACGCTGTAACTCCATCTTAATGAGGTTTGTATTCTGGAACATGTTTGAAATGTTATTTTAGCATCAAAGGATACACACAGTCACAGCCAAGCTGGTACCAACCACTGGATAAAAGAAAAGATGCTTTGAATTATCTTGGTCTCTGGCACACGCAGACATACAAATCCAGGAGCTGAATTTTCAGTACCGGAGATAATGGTAATTAATTTTTCCAAAACAATGGTCAAAAGGAAGTACACATTTTTGCACATAGCAAAACAGAGGTTTATTTTAATAGCTAGTCAGCAAATATCTAATATTTAAATGTAAAGTCAGTTAGGGACACCTGGCCTACTTAGTAACAGATCATTCCAACCAGCAGCAATCGTAGTCAAAGTTCAACCTGATTCATTTCTAGCTCACTGGGCTACTCTGGGTAAAACAAACTAGGTTCCAGGTTCTACGAGGAGCATTTTTAAAGTAAGGTCCGTTTTGTTGTAGGCACTAGTAGTTCGCGCACATACTGCAACGAGCATGTGCGTCGTGTACCGGCATGCCTCGGGAACAACTGTGCTCAGTTTCCACTCTGTAGCTACCTGTACGGTTCTGTTCTGTGCTTTAAAAATGTTTAAGGCTATCAACTCACCCTCCGCATGTGAGGTTCGCTCAGTGAGACAGTTTTTGTCAGCAAGGAACCTGCCTGCTGCAGAAATTCATCGACAGATTTGTGAAGTGTACGGTGATACTGTTATGAGTGAAAGCAAAGTGCGTAAGTGGGTATGACAATTCAAAGATGGCCGTGACAACGTCCATGATGAGGACCACTCTGGTCGCCCTTCTTTGATTACAGATGATTTGGTTGCTTCAGTTGAAGCGAGGATTCGTAAGAACAGGCGCTTCACAATAACAGGTCTCTCAAACGAATTTCCTGATGTGTCGAGATCAGTGCTTTACAACATTGTTTCTGAACACCTAAAGTTTAGGAAACTGTGCTCCCGTTGGGTCCCGAAACTCCTAACAGAGGACCACAAAAACCAAAGATTTGAGTGTGCGATCACTTGCAGTATGCACGTGAACTACTAGTGTCTACAACAAAACGGACCTTACTTAAAAAATACCCCTCGTATTTGAACATATGAAAACCTTTTGCAGTCTAACAACCTCATCAGATGGGTTGATTTGCCTGTCATATGCCGCTTATTCTCCCCTTTCATCATGGAGCCCATTACACAACATGCAGTGACTTCCAGCCAAGCTCTGTGGTGAAAGGGGAGAGCAAGCGGAGTATGCCACCACTGTGGCAATATGGGAAGCTTCCTATGTTGCCTTTGGAGCAATGGGGGGAAGCCAGGTGGCAGCATTTCCCTCATGGGATGGGTAGGCGTAAGTCAGGCGATGCAGGGTATGTAGTGATGGATTCTCCACCCCCCTCACCAGGACCCCACATATTCACCACAATGCAAATCCATAGGCCTTTGTGATAAGGTTGTATGTCTGATGACTGGTCAAGCTAGTCTAGTACTGTCTTCTTAATAGCGGTTTTAAGTAAGGGGTCTTTTCCCCTATACAATCCAATATCCTTTTAACTAGACATGACAGAAATCCTGGGCAAGCTTGAGTGTTAATCTGAAAATTCTGTTTCATGGCCTTCTCCAATTTCACATCTCACATTTTCCAATTAGATGATCTAGAAACTGACAGCAGATAGCCCAGAGTTGATCTGAATGTACTCTTTGCTATCATGTTGACACAATATTTGGAGAAGCAGTAGAAGTGTGAATAAAGTGGCCACAAGGTCTTTATTTGTTTGGCTTTCTTAACATTGAGATCCGATTTTAATTAAAGTAATTAGTTATTTTTCACACCTTTGACAGATTCAGCTGGATATTGACACCTCACTGCTGATGGTTTTTGAAATTGTTTCAGGACATTGGACAAAGTCACTCAGCCTGTGACAGAGATGTAACAGCTGAGTGTTGGCATAAAAACAAGTTTGCTTATTGTTTATTAGCATCTTGCCTCAGTGAAATGTGCTGCCTGTAGACTCCTGACGCCAAACATTTTTGATGCTGGGATGCTGCATCCTTATGCAGAAAGGATGGGAGAGGAAGGCAGGTAGAGGCTGAGAGACTTCTTGACTGCTCTCAACCACCGCGTGTCTTGCCCTCCTCTTGGCATAAGGACGGTGTGAACAGCCGTGTCCTTATGCTGGGAGGACAGCTTGAGCAAGGCACACAATGGTTGAGAACCTTCTGGACTGCTCTCAGCCACCGTGTGTCTTGCCCTCCTCTTGGTATAAGGACGATGTGAACAGCCGTGTCCTTATGCTGGGAGGACAACTCAAGCAAGGCACACAGTGGTTGAGAACCTTCTGAACTGCCCTCAGCCACGGTGTTCTTGCCCTCCTCCCGGCATAATGCTGAGAGGACAGCCCAAAGCTCAAATAAGGAGTATTGGGGAGAAAGATTGGGGCATTCACCTAATGTCTCATTTTCATTCCAAGATAAGGATGGGGTGAGCAGCCCCATCCTTATGCCAGCAGGACAACCTAAGTATTACCTAGGCACTGCCCTGCCCCCTCGTGGTCCCCACCCTCTCCCAGGCCCTCCCCGTCCTGGGTCCATCCCACCCAGTGTGTGCCCAGCTACCCTCCCTCCTAGCCCACATGTGGTCCTAAGACAAAAAAACCCTTTTGTCCATGCCTGATATACACTCTTGAAAGTAACAAGGAAATATTTTCCCTCAGACTACTTATTCTGCTCTATCCCTGCTGAATTTAGTGAGATTAATCCACGTAAATTGTTTAAGAACTATGATATACATTTATGATGGAGCATTTGGTGTTTTATACTGACTGAATTCTGCTGTCTATAGGAAACATTGTAATGTTGGACTCATGAATAATATTTTACAAATCTTGATAGCAACTAGCCTGTTCAGAGCAACATTATCAGACCGCACACTTAAATTTCAAGGAAAGGTCAAACATAAAAGGTAATTTCCACTCAGGTTTGAGAGGGAAACAAAATGGGGCTGTTTAAGAAAAAAGAAATGTTAGAATATACTTCATATTTGACATCTGATATGCAGAGAAGGCTGATATAGGAATGAACCTGAGACTTTGACGACACAAACCATAATATTTAGCAGATCTCTGAAGGTTAAAGTGCATTATTAAAATGTCAAGATTCCACAATACCATTCTAAGAATATCATCAAGGTTCAGCTATAGAAGCAAGCGGGTGAGGCTATTACCCCAATCACATAATTAATTCAGTTGTAGAAATGACATGTTTTGCAATGATTTCTTAAGAATTCGATCATGCAGCTCTGAAAGGGTTGTGCTTCCCTGAGGGAAAAGCAGCCTGGCTACAACTTACGTGGGCACTTTTTGACACAAAACGCTCCATAGGTGTATTTGCCATCCCGGTTGTTTTCCATCTGGAAAGTGGCAGGATTGTAGACTGAGGTTTGAGGGCACTGGGTGACACAAGCCCCACTGTCATTAAAATTCATACATGCCTACAAAACAAGGATTAAAATGCATATCAGTACTTGGATTAGAGAAAACGAGCCTTGGCTAATTGTTGACAACAGAAACATGAGCCTTGGCTAATTGATGACAACAGGAATAAAATAGACAGATCCCAATAACATTTGGAATAGTTTATTTGAAGACTTACTAGAGTGTCAATATATTTCTACAATGCTCCTGATGTGTGGAGATTTTAAGGCTATAATTAAGGTTAGTTTGAAATGAATTGTTATGGGTGCCCTTCAAGTTCTTTCTGACTCAAAGATGAACTTATCACATGGCTTCTGGGGCTCAGAGTGAGACTCACCCATGGTTGACAAGTGGGATACTATAGCCAAGTGGATAACCAAACCCTGCATTCCAGAGTTGTAGTCCAGTGCTCAAACCACTACACCACATTGTCTCTCTAAAGCTACTAATTTTGGACAAGATTCTCAAGCCACACCTGTTGAGGGGATTTCCTATGATACAAACATAAACAAGCCAGGTATGAGGTTCTAAAAGATCCTCTCTTTGTGTCAGTTGCAATGTCTTAACAGAAGCCATCAAGAAATAATATTGGGTGTCTCATGTCAGCAATAGAGAAGAGAGTACAATGGATTATATAGCAGTTTTTTGCCAATCTATACCTTGACATATTCAAGGTATTGGTTTTAAGCTACAAAACCCTATATCAGTGGTTCTCAACCTGGGGTCTCCAGATGTTTCTTGCCTACAACTCCCAGAAATCCCAGTTAGTTTACCAGTTGTTAGGATTTCTGGGAGTTGAAGGCAAAAAACATCTGGGGACCCCAGATTGAGAACCACTGCCCTATATGGTTCCGGCCCAGTTTAACTGCCCTAAAGCATCTCCTCCTATAAACCATCAAGGATGTTAAGATCTTCCAGAGATGCCCTGCTCTCGGTCCCACTACTTTCGCAGTCATGTTTGGTGGGGATGAGAGACAGGGCCTTCTCTGTTGTGGCCCCCTGGCTATGGAACTCCCTCCCTGGAGAGATTAGGTCTTCCCCCTCCTGTCCTTCAGCAAGCAGCTAAAATCCTGGCTCTGGAACCAGGTGTTCGTAGATTGAGGGATGACCCGGCATTGACTAAAAGTTAATGGACAACAACAGTTGGTTGAGTTGGATGATGTTTTTAACTTGGTGTATTGCTTTTTATATGTATTTTAGAACTTATTTATTGTGTATGTTGTTTTATGATATTTCTCGTATTGCATTGAATTCTTGCTGTTAGCTGTTCTGAGTCCCTCCACGGAGGTAGAGAAGAATGAGATACAAAAGTTCTAAATAAATAAACCCAGTTCAAAGCAAATATTGTGGGATATTCTCCCTTGATATTCTGGGTTATATGATTGTGTGGAAGGGCCCTCTGGTTCGGTCTACACTGCCACATAATGCAGTTTTAGAACCTAGATTATCTGCCTTGAACTGGATTATATGAGTCTACACCACATAATACAGTTTAAAGGAGATCATCTGAATTCTGGAACTGCATTATATGGCAGTGTAGACGAGGCCTAAATTGTATAGTAAACATCTGTTGACTAAATGGGAGTACTGAAAATCTAATAATTGTCATTCTCCTTGAATGGGTTGACTTAATCCCATTGATCATCTTTTAACTTCTTAATTCTTAGCTCTACAAAGAACTGGCATTCCAACCAAACATATATTTGTTGTCTTTGTGATTTTTCCAACAGCTCAATTGATAGAAACCTATTGTGGCGTCAACTGGTCAACAAGCCAACACAACAATTGACTATTGTTTTTAATCAAGGAACTCTATTCCAGTGACTGCTGGAATAAGAGTTGCTATTTCTAGCTCATTAACTTTCATATCCCAACTAATAAAAGGGTAAAACAAAGATCCTCACTAGTACCGTTATTTTTAAAAATTATATCTGAATGACATAATCTTAGTATTGCTTGGCTCAGAATTTATTCCGTCTTCAGTTGGGTTAAAGATTTTTCTATTGATTGATGATTGATGATATATGTACATTGATGATATGGATGTCACTTACTTTTAAAGGGTTGGAAGGCTGTTTTCTAAGCTCATATTTTGTTCGAAAGAAAAGCTGAAAATTAACTATACTAAAACAAAAGTTTAGAAAAAAGACACTCTCATTTTCAATGAGCTATCAATAGTCATAGGCTGGATCTACACTGCCACAAAATCCCATTTCAGAATGTAGATTAACTTCACTGATTAACCTCAATTACAACAGAAAAACAACAGAGGGGAAATAAACAGGCACATAAAATCACTCTCAACAAAAGATTCCCCCCAGGCCCTTCCAAGCCATCGAATGCTAATCAAGGTGATCAGCTGAAACATACACAGCTAGCCCCAGCAGACAAAAGTCCTTTGTCCCACCCTGGTCATTCCACAGATATATAAACCCATTTTTCCTACTTCCAACAGACCTCACTACCTCTGAGGATGCTTGCCATAGATGCAGGCGAAACGTCAGGAGAAAAATTGCCTCCAGAACATGGCCATATAGCCCAGAAAAACCTACAACAACCCAGTGATTCCGGCCATGAAAGCCTTCGACAATACATTAACCTCACTGAACTGGAATATATGAGTCTACACTGTCATATAACCCAGTTGTTGCAATTGATATGTATTCTGAAACTAAATTATATGGCAGTGTAATCCTGTGATTTGGGCCTTTCTGGATTGGCCCTTAGAGAGAAAAGGAACCACCAAGAAGAACAATAGAGTAATTAGGCAAGAGAACACAAGACTTCATTAAATTAATTTTAAAAACCAGTTAGGATGAAGTGAATATTCAAAAATATTTTTAAAGTGGTCAAAAACATGTTCGGAAATTCTTTGCAAAATTAGCACATTGATGTTTTGTGCAGAAGCGTTTTCTGCAAACAAAACAACTTGTTTTGGCTAGAAAAAAGTTTTTCTGATTGATTTTCTGTGTAGACAATGCTGTTTCCTGCATAGAAAATGCTGTTTTCTGTGTAAAACTTTACTGTGGAAATAGATATGGATAGGTCCTGAACTGTGAAAAAGCTTTGAAAATGTGTTGCTTTTCAAAATTTTTGGACAGAAGGAAGAAAAATGCATCCTTGGAGAAGACAATTCACAGATAACTGCATCCCTGTGTGCCAATGGTTAAAAGCTGAGCCTCTTCAGATGGACAGAAACTCATAGATTAACTAATTTACGAGGCCATAAAGACTTCAGCAAAGCATGCGGGGAATGCGGAAGGACTTCATCAGTGTCGCAGATGGATGATGAAAGCGACAGCTCCCCTGGTGGCCAGAAAAAGTTAAATAGCCTCTGTCTATGTCTGTATATGTTTGTATGTCAAACATTGGCATTGAATGTTTGCCATATGTGTGTACACTGTAATCTGCCCTGAGTCCCCTGCGGGGTGAGAAGGGTGGAATATAAAAGCTGTAAATAAATAAATAAATAAATAAATAAATAGAGTTGTTACAACAAAGATTATTTTAGTTCAAGACAAATGTGTTAAATTAACACGGAGTCATTAGAAGCAAAAACAGACATGTTAATTCTCTCTCTCCTAGTGCTCTAAATACCTCTAAATCTTTGTGAGTAAATTTTACTGAAACATTAATGCTGTGGAGACAGGCACAGATTTGCTTTCAAATGACTACCTGCCAGCACACAAAGAACAATGGATGCTTGCCTTATCTAGAAATTTTCGCAGCAGGATATTGCAGCTAGTAGCAAGCAAGTATTATATGTCAGATGATCTCTTAATTCATCATACATTGAAATTTTGTTAATTAATACATAGCAGAACTCACATATTTATTTTCTCTTATCCACTGCCTTTGTCTTTTCACGTAACTTATCATCAAAATAGATTGCTTAGTGACTGTATAATAAAGATTCAAACAGCTAATGACATATATAACCCAAGGAGAGGATAGTCTTCCACAAAAGATCTAATAATATCAATTTGAAAAGCTCAGTCAAGTTTTGATTTATGGCCATGAAGCCTTGTTTATTGGTTCTGGTGACAGAATATAGTGCAGTCTAAGCCTTTGGGCTGGCCTAGATACTGTGGAGTCTGGTGATGCCAATACTCTGGCTTTTTCCTGCTTTTCTAGTAGGAGTAGTAGGAACAATGTGTGTATAACTAACACTTGAAACATAGAAAAGTCCCCAGGAAAGACTCTATAGCAACGCAGCAATTGTCTACATTGATCTAAAACAATTTCTGGCTGCTTTCATCTGTATAAGGAACACATTTTTATAAAGACACTCAGCTACTTTGGATTACAACAAAAGCCCCTTCCACACTGCAGTATAATCCGGTTCAAAGCAGATAATCTGGATTTACATGGCAATGTAAATGGGGTTAGAGATAGCTAATAATAACAATATCTCTTCTTGGAAAATCTATTTTTCCTCTAGATAGTGTCATGATTACAGTTAAATCCAAAAGAGAATGTTCAGATAGGTTGGCTGACAAGACCACAAATAGCATGTACACTGTAGAATCGAAGTGGTTTGGTATTACTATAATAATAATAATAATAATAATAATAATAAACCTTTATTTGTACCCCGCTACCATCTCCCACAGGACTCGGTGCGGCTTACAAGAGGCCGAGCCCAAAATACATCAGAAACAAAAAACACAATAACAACAATACGATAAAACAATAACACAGCAAAACAGTAACAAAAATCACGACGTATTTAAAAACCTGTGGCAGGGCCAAATGTAATGATTAATTTTTTTAAAAAATGCTGGGCATATCCAGGTGAAATAGAATGGATACTTTGGGGATAAGAGGGTGTGCAGACAATTCTAACACTCTCGTAAAGTGCAGTTGGGACATATTGCTTGGGATTCCTTAATCTGGGAAGGCACACTGGAACATCCATGTTTTCAAGCTCCTTCTGAAGACTGCCAATGTTGGGGCTTGCCTGATGTCCTTGGGGAGGGAGTTCCAGAGTTGTGGGGACACCACCGAGAAGGCCCTG